TAGTTCATTACTAATGCCTTGAAAAAATATCATTTTTTGATAATTTAAATCAGCCAATATTTTAGACCGTTTCTTTTTCTCTTCTATTGATTGCCCATGTAATAAATATGTATTCATTTGATTTGTAATAAACTAACAAATTTTGCGCGTTTGAGTATATATTATATATAAATAAATAATCATTAAGTGTGCAAACTTTTCATACTTGCAAAAATCCATATATTTCTCATTGATTGGGCTAAGTCGATTAACACCACAAATTAACACAGCTGATAAAGATTGCCCTTCACAAAATGAAATCTTTGTCGGTAATAATACAGCTCGAGATTCATCTTTTAAAAGAACTTTTAAATGACATCCTTTTTTAATTACAAGGCGTATTGGCCAAGATTCACATTTTAAAAACGAAAAGGTTAAAGCAGCATCCTGTTTTAATTCTATATATGTGTTGTAATCCTTATTAGCATTTTTGGCTAAACAAATTATCTCACATGTTTCTGGTAAATAATCAGAGATATGCCTTCCATCTTTACATCTTTATCGAAGGTCGTGGAGATTAGACAGGTGATCAGCGTTTCCAAATTAGTATTTAATTTGTATTTGACAAAATAAATTAATGCATAAGAAATATCTATACTATTGCTTAATATATCCGTCATAATATGACAGACACTTTCTAAAGATTCAATTTCTTCAAGAAATAATATAGCGATATAAATGTGTTAACATAAAATTTTCTAACTTAATCGTTAAACAGTATAATTATGAATACCAACCAAGAATTTGCTTTCCAAATTCATTTAGTATCTTTAATCTTCTAGTATTTAAAACATTTTGAGTATTTTCTTGTATAATTGATAATATAGCACAGACTGTACCATCTGATTTGAAAATCGGACTATATGAAGTGGTAATATAATTCTCTTCAGTATATCCATCACGTGGTGGTTCAAAAAATTCATCTTTTTTAAACCTTCCTTTTTCAGTCGTTCTTACACTAAATATATTGCGAGAAGTTTAGACATACAAATAAAAGTTTGTTTAAGTTATTACTCAACCTACTCTTCTAAATCTGAAATAACGATATCACATAATATTTTAGGCAAAACATCTCTCAATAGCTTTTCTAATGCTATTAATTGTAATGAGGGTGTTATTTTTGATAAGTTGATTATAAATATATAAGAATAATTTGTATTAACCATATGGATGATATTGTTGTAAAACTTCTATAAGCGCTATAAGCAAATAATTAGATATTAAAGCAAATTGAATATCTAAATAGACAAAAGAAGAAATTTTTCATAAAAAACTAAATTCTGAAATAGCTTACCATCATTATATAGATAGATCCATTCTGGAGGACCGATAAAGAGCAAGATGGGAAACTTAGAATTGAGGCACATGCACTACATTAATAAGCATGATTTGTATATTATATTTTTTTTAATAAGCATAAAAAAATATATATGCAGATGATTTCCTTTGTAAAGAATCTCTATATAACGAACTTTCAAATTAGGGTTGGTTCGGTCCGTCTCGGTCCCTAATAAGACCGGTCCCTTTATATCCATCAGTCCCGTCCAGTCAGTCCTCGGTCTCAAAAATAAACTATTCAAAAATATACTATTTTTTACGAATGTAGTTTATCGTTTTTAACTGTCATTATCGAATAAGATTTATACAATAATGGTTTTTAACTATTTAAAAGTTTAATTTAATAGTTTATTGTTAACCGGTCTGAAATGATTAAAAGACTGAAGACTGAAGGATCATTAACCGGTTTAAAAGACCGATTCTTATCCAGTATTCTCAGGACTGAATTAACCCTTTTCGAATGTAGTAAGCTAAAAAAAATTTAAATTTATGCTAGTTCTTTATATAATTAACTGTATATGTTTTTAAATACCATAGCTGTTTTGATAGTAGGTTCCCATAAGTCCATAGAGCCAAGTGAAGTCGATGACCAGTCAAAATTATAGACCATGTTTATCATGTTTACTTCTTCACTTTTGGTATCATCGTTACTTGTTAAGGGTAGTGGCATTTAGTTTGAAAAAAAATAATAAATGACAAAAGCTATAAAAGAGAATAATGAGTCAAAAAATCATTTAAAACAATTATTAAAGATTAATACATTGTAACATTGCATACATGCGCAATTATTTGAAATGTTCTTCAATGTGTGGTTATGTTTCAATCAAAAGAGTAACTTTGTCTAACATAAATATTTAATTTTTTTATCGTGCATAAACTTTACAAGTACCACATTTACCACAGGCATCTGTACAATTCCAGAAAATCAAAACAACATCTTACATAATCTTATGTAAGAACAAATGTGAACCTATTAATAATTCCAGTTTTTTAAATATGCAAAACCATTGAAAAATTAATGCTTTACGTAATTTACTTATACAGAATATTTGTATATGAGTGCTGCACAATATAGTTGTGCAAATACATATTTGAAATTCTAAAAATTTTAACCAAACAGCTTATTAATATAATTAACTAGCACATGCTTATGTGCGGCTGTGCCGCCAGTTATTTTTGATGGAATATTGTAATAATTACGTATAGGGACACGTGGATGATAATGACGTAGATTATCATATGATTTTGATTTTTATTTAAATACGTAGAGGTTCATCAATTTACGATTTTTAAGTTATCGAAGATATTGTTTTTGG